CTGCTTCTCATTGATGAAGGGCTTCTTCCTTGCTTTATGGGTCTTCAGTCCTGCTTCTAGGAGACTGTTATGAACTGTCCTAGCAGTGCACTTCACACCACTTAACGTTTCCCATTCTTTTTGAAGGTCACTAGAGGTCACCCTCTGATTTGTGAGGCACTGTTGGATAAGTTGACTTTATCTCTGGCATTAGAAGGTTGCTTCTGCCCTCTACCTGGCTGGGTTCTGGTCATTCCCAGTGTCTCCTGCTTCACATTGATCTTGTGTCCTGCCATCTTAGAAACCTTGAGCCTGTAAGCAGGCTGCCGCACAGTGTAACCTTCTGCCAGCCGAACCGGGATTAAACCAGGATTATACCAGGATTTAAGAATGCAAATGTTTTTAACAATATAGAGTGGTCTCCTAATTTTTTCCGTGGCTGTATACCAAAAGATTAGGACCACCATTACAGGAAATGACAGCCTTATGTAAACATGCTCATTCACTGCAGCCTGTAAGTGTGCTTTTATTTCAGCGAAACTGGGGTGATATAAATGCCGCACCATAAAGGCAAAGAAGAAAAACTCAGTAATACTAAAGTAGTGTAGAACTTCAGGCCACGTTGCGAGGATTTCTGGTGCACTTGCCTGCCTAATTTACGAAATGAATATAATAAAAAATAACAAAACACAAGTAGTACTAAGTAACAAAAAAATGTGACTTCCTTGAGTGTGTAAACATATAGTTAAAACATTCTGCTCTCTTTTTGTTTGTGACCTTTTTCCATAAACTTTAACCATGCCCTCAACCAATCAGGCACTGGCATCGCTCTGTTGGAGGGCCAATCAAAATGAACAACATAGACCTCCCTGCAGATAGATGGCGCTCTACTGGAATCTTTTAATCAGGCCAACTCGAATGAGCAGAATCCAAACACTTGGGAACCAATAAAAGCGCCGCCAGCTACATTTATTTTAGGAAAATGGCAGAAAAGCACCACGTCCTTTCTGTGTTTATCTTGGCACTTAAATAATTATATTCCATATATATATATATATATATTATAACCAAAACAAAAATAAAAGGTCAGCCATGAGCGAAAAGGATGATAAACTTTAAACAAAACATCCCAGATGACTGGAGCTGAAACTGGTCCCTCATTTTCGGGTTTATTGGGGGGGGGGGGCACTCATTGTTTGTTTTCCTGTAAACCAGGGGGATTTAGTGTCATTCCCAAAACTCACCTAGAACTCTCAGCTTCTCAGCACCAACCACAACTTCCTGATCATCAGCAGAAAACAGCAGTTTTCCCGTGGTGGATTTCACCTCAAACATCTTGCCGTGCGCCTGCACTCCATTGGAACCTGCGCGGGAGGAAGGATGTTTTTGTTTTAGATCCGATAGAAACAACAGCTATTCTGAACAGATTTCCCAAGGTGGAAAGCATAAGGTGGGGCCTTAATTCATACGGAGGGACCGACCTCATCATTAGCCAATGATATGTTTTGAATTGCTGAGTGACAGGGAAGGGCCAACCAGCTTTCAGTTGGGACCAGTGCCACTTTGACCCCGCCCCTGTATAGATGTTGCTTAAGCTACAAGTAAAAATAGCTTACACCATGGTTACACATTGTATCATGTGACCATTTCTCTCCTTCTTACATGCTACTAAAAATTTCAATAAGTGAATTGACTTGCCAGGGTGTGGCAGCATGTCGAATTGTTGATGAATCGGCATAAATATTCTGGAAGGAAACGGCTGCGGACAGGCATCAACTGGTTCCTGATTCATTCAGCGCAACGGCACCGAGTCACAGAGGCTTAAAGATTTCAAACCTCAGGGCTCCGCAGTTCCAGGGGAGGCCATGGTACTGATGCTTTATGCCATTACAGGGCTTCTTGGATTGGTTGCTGGCGGCGCGAACAAACAAGCGAATCAGAGGCAGATGGGGGAAGTTTATAACTGCAGGCACATGAAAGAGTTTTTAATAAAGTCCTAATGTGGTGACAACATCGTGGACGGCCTGACTATGAGAACACGAATCGCTTGGTGCTCTTCTTTATATGCTAAGTGCCGTAAAAGAAACTGAAATGAGAAGGAGAAGGAGAAGGAGAAATACAAAGGATCAAGCCAGCAGTTTATGAATTTGAACGTTGGCACATTTCGATAAGTCCAAAGTGTACTGTGGCAAGACCTGTTGTACATCTCAAACATTTTAATGAAATCGTTTATGAAATTCAAAAGTCTATGTCTGAATGTCTCTTCTGCAAGCCAAATAAGGGTAACCATCGAGAACTTTGACGATCATGTAACTTCTAATAATTAAAAAAATATATATTGCAGAATCCAACAGACACAAAGTATTTGGTATTCGATACTTTAAAGCCAACTATCTTGGTTGGTAGCAAAATTTCTAGAGGGGAAAAGGAAGATATTCACGTTTGACCGAGCTGGGAAATTGCATACTTTGTAAAACTTAAGAAAAAGAATTACATCTTTGATTTCTGCGTGACAGAGAATGAGAAGGCGTTAAGCGTGGATGCAATTTGCTTGTCACGAACTGCCAGCCAGTGAAAACTGTCTTCACAGAATGCCGTAGTGCACTGAGAAAAAGCCGGTGCCAGTGATTAGTGGACCGCTGTTGCTCCCGTCAGTGACATCCAATCACAGATCAGCGAAAAAGTAATTAAGGCCCCATGCTTGCGAATGAAGGATTACATGTTGAAAGCACAAGAAGGATTCTGGGTAAAAACACCCCTCTGTAAAAACATGTGATGTCGTGTAAGCTGTGTACCTCCCATTGGATTAAAATGTCTGATTTCTAACCAATCAATCTCTCCTTATACAAATCTAACTGCTTACAGAGGCAAAGGTTGCAGTGATAAGTATTAGAATGAAATGAAGTGACATGGTACATTACCTCTCATGTACCAATAAACATTGTTATCATTTAAATTCGGAATAATACAGTAATTTACAGACTCAGTGCTGCTATTTTTGCTGTGTTACTACGGAAGCACCGGCACAGGGGCCAAAGGAAGCATACAGCCCCGGTAATTGTGTTTTGGGACGATGTTTCATGGGTTTTTGAATAAAAGCACCCGTCTCTGCAGGGATCTCATGATGAATTTTAATGTAGATGCCAAACCAGGGAACCTGCAGGGATCTTTCTTTGTCATTGAAAAGGAACAGATCAGGGGGAGAGTTGGGAAAAAAAAAAAAGCAGACATTTCTGAATGTCCATGTGAGTCCTACGGACTGAGGAGGTTCATGGTAGAGTGTGGACCCCGGCTAAGTTGGCCCGGGACTGGAAGAAGAATGATGACAGAACTCCCTGCACGGCCAGTGACGGTTGTCAAGGATCCACAAGACCCAGCGGACACTGGGATAAGTTCCGCATAAGTCAACAAAATACATTTTGCTTTCCAAAAGTAGATTGTATGGCAGTAAGAGAAGGACGAGCCAAACTCCCCGTGGGGGTTTCGTATGAACATTTGACTGATCCTGTGACACAAAGTGTTTTTTGGTTGAATGATTAAGCATTACATTCGATGTGGAATCAGCCAGTCACGTTTGTATGGTCTGACATGGTGTTGGCAGCCTTGTGTCAAGTTTTTGAGAGTGAAGGACATTTATGTGCATGCAGCCACTGGAGTAGAACCTAGTCCTGCTACAGAATGCGACCCAGGGCAGGAAATGCAATGTGTATAGCAAAATTTCCAGTGGTGCTCAAAAGTTTGTGGACCCTTTAGAATTTTCTCTATTTCTGCATATATATGACCTAAAACATGATTTGATTTTCATTGATCAGGTTTTCCTAGGTATAAAGAGCTCAATTAAACAAATGACATCCATCCATTTTTGGAAACTGCTTGTTCCATTCAGGGCTGAGGGGTCTGACGCCTATGGGCACAAGGCAGGGAACAACCCAGGATGGGGCGCCAAACCATTGTAGGGCACACTCACACCTATGGGCAAGTTAGCAACTGCAATTAACCCTAGTGTGTTTTTGGACTGTGGGGTTTAACTGGAGTACCTGGAAGAAACCCCACGCCGACATGGGGAGAACATGTGAACTCCGCACTCATGGAGCCTTGAACCCAGGTCCCTGAAGTGTGAGACAATAGTACTATAGCTACAGCACCACTCTGCCAACCCCTAAACAAATGGCAATACAACGGTAATGCAACGATCCAGTGCAGGGATGGGCAATCTTATCCACAAAGGGCCAGTGCGTATGCAGGTCTTTGGGATAACCTTTAGGCTGTCTGTTCAAAGCCTGGTGTGAGGAACCTCAGCCAATCAGTCTTTTAATTAGTAATCTAATTATGGAGTTGCAGCGATAACCCACATACCCAATAGCCCTTTCTGGATATGATTGCCCACCCATAATCCAATGTCACATATAGGTGTGTAGAAAAAGTATAGGAACCGTTGCTGGTTATGATTGGTGTGACCCCCTCATTGTGCAGCAATAACATCAGCAGAATGTTTCTGGCATCTCTTGATCAGTCCTGCACATCAGCGTTGAGGAATTTTAGCGCCTTTATGCAGAAATAGACAAAACTGTAAAGGATTCACAAACTTACTAGCACCACTGTATACTAGCTCATGGGAGTTTTACTTACACAAAAAATGTTCTGAGGGCAGATGGAAAAATGATTGGTTTAGGGAAATAACCAATCAGTTTGGAGAGGAGGCGGGTCCAAGCAACTAGAGGAGGCAAGACATCCGATTGTTTGAAGCTGTATACTAGGATGTCCTAACGAATGTGGATCTCAATCGTATTGAGAACATTTGGGGAACATTTAATAAACTTTCCAAAAACAGTTTCCAGCCAACTGGGTTAACCGTGAACAAATACGACTATAAAAATGATTCCTAAAAGTGTGCAGTAGCTTTGCATAAAACAGATTTTATGCAATGTGCCAAATCAGATTAATCTGCTGGTATATTCAGTGAAGGCTGCATCAAATATCACGGCGGCTGAGAATTTTGTTTTGAGAAATCATGATTTTGTTCTACCTTTGATCATAAGCACCCAGATGCAAATTCAGCTCTGTGCTCTCGATTAAAAAAAGAAACTGGCATATTTTTCAAAGCATCAACACAGAGAGTGTTACCTTCTGCCTCTTAACATTTAACATAACAAGGATGCAATCGCTTAAGTAATGAAGGTACCATGAGAGTTAGTCATTAAAACTTACTGTAACTTACCTGCAACTAGTTGACTGGTCATGCGATTCTTGCCATCCAGGACGTTAATGGTTATGTTTCTTGAGGACTGCAGTAGCAAAGGGCTTCCCTGTCAAAGCAGAGGAATGCCAAGGAATTAATGATCGGTTGTGACTGGTGGAAATAACGCAGCAACAAAAACATGGCTAAAATTAAATGATTTGACAGATTGGGGAGGTCAGGCTAGAATTACTGTATCCTGCTTAAAATGAGAAATGGCAATTCATCATTCAAATGAGGATGAAAAGCAAACATTTTTATTTGTTGCCCTATTTCATTGCATGGGAGCCTTGGAGTTTGAATCCCTTGTGTGATCTCTGGTCTGAAAGTTCCTATGGTCAGTTGTGCGGAGTCACATGATCACCTTGGTTTGTTTCTTGAGGACGGCACTCGCCTGCTTAATCACTGAGGCAGCCTAAGATAACGCAGATTAACTGAGGTCTTAACATCTCATTTGAAGAGATTAAGGGTAACTTCTTTTGGGCTGGGACCTCCCAGGGCTGATCTAAACCGCAGGAGATCCGTAACACATGCAAAGTCGGGTCCTCATATACATGCCAAAAGTATATCTTCACCGTTGATGGTGCATCACGCCTGGGCTCTGAAGTTTCTCACAGAGCGTGGACGCGAAGGTGTGTGTTTACTTTTCAGACTGCTAAATTTGTGTGGCTTGGTGGGTTATGACTCTGTGCCTGTGATTGGAGGGTTGTTGGTTCAAATCCTGGGGCTGGCAGTTTGAGGCTACCATTGGGCCTTTTAGCAAACCCCTTCACCCACAATATCTCCAGGGCAGGGGTAAGCAACCCTGATCCTGTAGTGCTGGTTTCCTGTCCTACCTGGTCTCTGATGAGCCACACTTGATCTCAGGCAGATAGTAACTCCTCAGTTCGGATAGAAAACCTGCTGGATATCGACACTTCAGGATCAGGGTTGCCTACCCCTGCTCTAGGGCTACCGCATGCCAGCTGACCCTCTGCTGCGACCCCACCCACCATTTTTGGCAGGTTCTTGCCTCCATTTCTGGGGTCTGCTTTTACACTAATGGAAATTCCATCGACTGGGTGGCCAGTTAGCTAACAAACGCTACAGAACGTGTACTGGCATCTGAAGGAGAGAGCCGCGCCACCAGCTTGGATATGCGCTTGGAACGAGACGTCTCCTCCGCTAGCAGCGGCAGCGGTGGGAAGATCAGGTGAGAAATCCAGACCAAGATTTAGTTTCAACCAACCAGTTGAGTACTTTGTGAATGTGACTCTTTAAGTTCAACTGGCTGGTTGAAACTAAATCTTGGTCTGGATTTGTACTTTCTGGACCTGAACTTTCCACCTCTGGGAAGGGGCATTTACTATTCAGCTCACGCCTCCCTCTTCCGGGCTCCTCTTCAGAGCCACACGACGGATGAGATAAGACATACAGCCCACACCTTATCAAGTCACACATCCAGGCCCAGCGCTAGGATGTTAGTGCTGCTGGGCTGCGGGGGCCCATATCTCTCATCGCGCTGACACAGAGCACCCCAGAGTCCGCTACTTACTGGTCTGGACTGGATTTCTTTGGCATACAGAGGCTGGAGAAATTCAGAGTCTCCCTCGAGCTTCAGACCGTTCTCCGTGATGCGCAAGTTGCCCATGCCATCCTGCAGGACAAATGAGATGGGAAAGAGGGAGAGGTAATAGGCGTGATTAGTGCCTTCCCAAATACCGCATAGCTCAGATCCGTGAGGATATCCTCTGGGGGATTGGTCGGAAAATGTTCTGATTTTAGCAGACTTGACAATACCCTTGAGCTTTCATCGCTGAATAATGAACGTCAGAGATGAGCCCGGCGATAGCTGTGTTTAATATGAAAGGAGCTGTCCTTCTAGTAATCTAAAAAGCTAGTCTTTCATTGCCGATACCTTTGATCCTTGAGAAGAGCATTATCAAACAAAGATCAAGACCCCAGCGCCCCCTCCGTTGTGAGCGGTGCAGCATTTTCACAGTTCTCTTTTCGCCGTTCTTCGTTAAGATGCTGTAAAGTCACTGGAAAATATGTGGAAATGTCGGGCCCGAATGTTTCTTTATTCACACGGTCGTATCTATGCTATGGTAATCTGGCTGCAGGATTTATATATCTGCGGGTTCTACGTTTCGCGGAACCTTTGAAGTTATGAACATTTTTAACCGTTTAGCTATTTCAGCTGTTGCATGGGGTTTAGCGTTTGATTTTTGCTAGCTAAATGAAATCCAAGATCCTGTTTCTCCTCTACGGCGAAATGAACAACTATCTCCGTAAAAATAAGTAAGCCGAGAATTAAAATAGCAATCATTATATCAGTTAATTCTTAAGATAGCATCTCATTGCTGATACTGGCTAATTGCTGTGCAGTTAGGTTATTGGGAGTGACGTAATGCTTGACAGTTAACGTTGAGCCTCGTGTTCAGATGGAAAGCTGGAAAAAAACCTGGTGGCATTTGGATACTTTGTTTGCAGCTCCTCTGGGATTGGCTGTTTCGTGCATTTGGCCTGAATGGGGATAAATAAAGCTAGTCTTACAGCTGGCAATCGGTGTCCATTATTATTACAATGGGCCTATATTACAGAGAATGTGACCCATGATGTACCTGGTAGCATCCACTGACACACGCTACCTTGGGTATCACCAACACAATTGAGCTACACAGTAAGAATTGTTATTTGCATTTTGTGTTGGGGGGGGGGGTTCCTTCTTTAGTAGATGGCCAGTTTGGGTTGGCTTGATCAGTAAGCCATAGCAAGGATGTCCTGCCTCACTGTGGGACTTTCCTGTGCTGTGTCTGGGCCAATTACAGCTAACATTGCATCTTTTGGCTTCTTCTAGCTTTCAGATGAAACTTATTGGTGTTAACGGGGCGGGGGTGGAGTGAACCTTAAAAGCACCCTGCAGCCTTCAGAACTCGGCATGATATCACGCTATCTTCCCAACGATTCGTCACCACTTGCTTTTGCCCTCAGCGGTGGTGTTTGCCACCACCCAAACCACGCATTTTGCGTGGTGGCCCCTGAAGTTTTCTGGGCCCCCCTGCTGGCCACAAACAGTCACTACACTCAATATTACATAAACTCGTTCCTTATGTAGGTGTAGCTATGGTGCTTTGATTGTACTCGCTAGTTATTTATTTAATTTTTTTTTTATCTGGGGGTGGGGGGGGGGCTGAATTTTAGAGCTTGGCCACATAGAGCTCAGAAGGCTCAAAGCCATGTAGTGCTCGCCAATGTATACCCTCTCATCTCCCCCGCCACCCTTAAATCCATCGTCCTCACCCACCCCTCCAAATATTTTGAAGCCAGAAGACAGTGGCATGGAGTCCTGGGGCTTATTTTCATGCTGTACGAGACGCCGGTAGTCATGAATAATTCACAGTGCCACGCACTGACAGAGAGGTTCAAAATACCCAGGTGTGTGCGCCAAACCCCCCCCTCCACACACACACACACACACACACACACACACACCGCCCTCCTGCCTCCAGGAGACTGGAGCCAGTCACGCGTTGAGCTCTTTGCAGCATGAAGGAGCCGGAATGAAAAGAAGAGGCCGTCATTGTGGGGGTTTGATGTTTACTGTTTACTGAACACGGGGAAGCCACTGTTTATGTTTTTTTATAGACCTTAGAGGGACGCCCCTGACTGAACACGGGGGTGAAACCTGAACACACACACACACACACACACACACACACACACACACTCGCACGCACAATGTTGACACAGACTCGGAAACACAGTGCCCCTTGCAGCAGTAAGTCCCACAACATTCTTTTACAATTCATCCGCTTTCATCCACCGTCCGGGACATTACATGGAAAGTAAAAACACAGAAAAACAGGCCATCAAACGTCAGCCTGAAGTTTTTTTTAGGGGTAACAGCACCTTTCCTCCCAGTTGCACCCCGATGAGTAAGAGCTGAAATTTTAATACTTTACTAGTATTAAAAAAAATTGGACAATTTTTATGATTAATCAGCGGTGTTCATATAACAGGAGAAACTGTCCACTTAGGACACGCTAAAATGACCCGTCGGGGAGGCTTTTAATGCTTATTGACAGGGCTAATTCTAGGATTTTTTAAGGTGGGGGCATAATTTATACAGAGGGGTCATCCTGATCAATTAGCCAATAATATGTTTTGAATTGGTGAGTGACAGAGAAAGGGGCTCTCTGTGAGCCAATCAGCTTTCAGTTGGAGCCATTGCCCCTGTGGCCCCGCCCCTTGCCTACTATGCATATTATTACGGTGTGTTTTGCCATCTTTATGAGAGTGAGAAGACAGGTAAACCGTGACACATGCCTGGAACAAGGCAGAACATGTGCGCCTGAAGCTTAGCCGAGAGAATTTACCATCTGCGAGGAGCAGAGAAGATTAAAAACATTCTGACATTTACTTTTAGATTTTAATCCGCACTTGGTGGGTGATTACGGCAAGTAACAAACAGATGCGTAAAAACACTTTAAACATGACTCAATCGTGCGTGGAAAGGAATCCATAATTATTTCCAAGAAATTATAATATTAGATCAGTTTAGACTCACATTAAGCTTTGGGTTTTTTCTTTTTCTAAATAATTTAAATAATCCATTGAAATGCGAAATTGAAGAGATCAGTAAGATGATGAGGAATTTTGATGTGGAACGGTGTTTTGCTCCAGCTGAGATTCACTTCCAAACTATGAAAATGCTAAATATTTTTCCCCAGACTAACAACTGATCCATTTCACCCTGTTGATTTGTTTGTTTGTTTGCTTTCTTGTTTGTTACATATAACAGTCCAGAATGTGAAGCTCCTCCACAAAACGATCTGCTTTACCGAAATTCATTCATTTAAAAAAAATCATTTAGAAAACATGCATAGTCACCTAAAATAAGCTTTTGATATTTAAGAGAAACATTGGGAAATGCAAGTAAATTAAATTGTGAAGCACTCTGAAAGTGTCTTATATGGGAGCGTTAGGGAAGTACATCTTTTCACCTTAAATTTGCAGCAAAGATTAAGCCACTTTGATAGGATGAAAATGGTTGCTAGTTCCATCAGTTCGTGCTTAGAGTCCAGAATGTTGTGTAGAATGAAAGGATGCTATTGGTGTATGCCCGGTGTTGAGGGGTGGGACTTCGACAGATACCAGCCAATCACGCTGAAGAGTCAACAGGAGCAGGATCTGCATTGGACTGCAATACAATAAAAGAATTGCTGTTTGCAATCCCTAGCGCCTTCTGTCTGCTTGAACTGGGATTGCAGTCCCAGCTAATACACTTTCCACGGCATCAAAACAAAAAACAAAAAAACTTATCCCAGCAGTGTCAGTGTTTTTGGGAAAGTTTGGAAAGATCCGTCGAGGCAGTTTGACTCGGGTTCTCTTTGAGATGGTATCGGCGAAATTGCCCTCGGATACCTTTACGCTGGTTCTGCCAATCTGATCTCGAGCCTCAAAGTGGCCAGACGCCTGTGTCCCAGAACCCAATGCAATGACGGTGCCGGCATTGAGAACGGACGACCCACTTACTGAACGTGATGAGCGAACGTGGCCCCCTGCTGACTTTGACACGAGAGGCGGCGTGATTCCAGGCCTCTTCCTCCAGTCACTGTCAGCCAATTCAGTTATTTATTTCACGTTAATTTGATCCGCGGTGAAGCGACCAAAGACTAGCCTGCATCTGAAGGCCGCCCGCTTGCGGAGAGCTGGGATTTGGATTGACACGCGAGGCCGGATGAAGACGTTCGGGATAATGTGCGGGTCTGACCTTTCAATCACCATTTACTGACCCTTTCAGTTTGTGCAAAAGCTCTTATTTCTCCCTGCCGTTAAAGTGTTTGGGGGAAAACAGCTACTGTGGAGAAACACGGCTTTGAAACTCGCACGCGGTAGGGTTACGGCATGTCGTTGTACTCCAAGCCGTCTCCTCTGCTGCCCTTTGGTTACCTTGCCGCCTCCCAATCAGATAAATCAGCCTGCCATTGGACAGTTTAGGGTAATCCCACCCACCAAGAGTCACGAAGACTCATTTCTCCCATCAGGATGAAACATTACGTTCCGCACACAACCCACGGAGAGCGAACCTCGGACCTCGCCGGGGACCCTGATGAAATAAGCTCTTTGTCGCGGATTTGATAGATATAAGACACCGAATCGGGCCTCCATAAAAAAGTGCGTGGAAATTTATGAGCCCTGAACCTTATTGAACTCCAGCCCGGAGATTGAATGGCCTTGTTTTCAAGGAACGGCATCGAAGAGTACTGTTGTCTTCAAGGTCTTAATAGATTCTGCCCTGCTGGTTTGCGGTGGGATTTCAGCTTGTGGGCACGGAGGCTGTACAAATCAACTAACCAAACACCTTACCGTCTGCTGGGCCGACGGTGCGTACACTACAGTATGTACTTTGCTTTGACGTCCTGTTATCGTAGCCATACCGTGAAATTTCTGCGACCACCTCATACCTCTGGTTTTTGTCATTTAAGGATCCAAACAATTTGGGAAAAAAAATAATCAAGTAGCTTCTCCTATTAATTCTCAGATGTCCGGCCCTGTATATAGCAAAGATCAGAACTCATGGAGAGCCTCAGTTATTATCATAAAAGGCTCCCCGCTATACTTGTTAGGAATATCAGCTCATCAAGGCCTCAT